TTTGATCACAAAATAACCTGGTTTCCACACCTGGTTATTTTGTAGTGGGAATAAGCCCTCAGGTTCTTCTTCAAGGGCTCATTCACACTACTATATAATTACAACATAGTTATTCCATTTTAGCTTCCATGCTTCAAGCCTATGGACTCAGGATTTTTCATCTGGCGATCCCCCCCCCCCCATGTATGAAATACCCTTTCATAAGAGATTTCTCTGGAGATTATTTGTTGGTAATGAGTTTTTATTGCCATACCATTCTACTCAGCAAGATGGTTTTTCTGGTGCTCTCTTTGATATCATTTTGGAAGCAGCCAGTGTCTTCTATTCCTCGCCCCTCCCTTAACATAGCTGGTTTTTAGTATTTTGAAGCAGCTGTTGGTATTTGTACACTGGAGTTTTGTCATTTTAAAAAATGTTTCTACTAAATAACTATATGTTTTACTCTTTCATAATCCAACCTGGGAATTGTGGATTTGTCACTGAAGGGCAGGTTAAAGAACTAAACAATAAACATAGTACCTTCTAGTGACAGTTTATTAGATGCTAACAGTGAGTGTGAAGATCCATGCATATTTCATGTGTTTTTGAAAAGTACTACCATTTACATCAGTAGAAAGATTCATTTGAGTTTGTACTGGCTCTGGTAAGAAAGAGCTGCTTAACTTCTAAATGTTTATGAGTTGTTACATCAGGGTTTAAAAAGGTGGCCAAAGGAGCACATTTTCCATTGTGCATTTGTTTGTCAATAATGCTGCATGTGCAATCAGTAACCTCTTGGTCATGGTGTTCATTCTGTCAATATTTCATAGTGCTGTAATGGCATTATATGACTGACTAATGGGAATGGCCATTAACAGCACTGATGCAGATTGAAAATAGCAATCCATATTTTATGGACCAGAAAGAGCCCAACCCTTTACTTTAAACCTCAGTGAGAAGGAGGAAAAAAGATAATGTGAATGAAATGTGCTTCCAGAGTGCCATTTCTACTGCTTAGCTCATAATCTTGCTTTATTTCATATGAAGCCTTGTGTGAGTGTGCCTGCCTCACACTTTTTCTGAAGGACTATGGAGGAGAACAAGTCTAGCCCAAAGGGATGCACAACATGGCAACTTCTTTCCAATTCTCTATACAAAATCAACAGGACTAGTAGTCATATTTTGTCTCAGAATCTACCATCTGAGGTTGTTGCCTCACTCTGTCTAGTGGTCAGGCCAACTTTGAGGAGATGTTGTTTCCCTAGACCTATATGTATAAATATGCTTCTGCTTTTCAGCAGACTCTCTTTTGCTGAGGGACCGAGGAATGGTTAATTTGGGGAAGTAGGTTGAGCCACCATGGTTTAGTGGTTTGAGCACTGGACTACAACTCTGGGGTCAAGGGTTCAAATCTCCATTTGGCCATGGAAAGTCACTGAGTGCCCTTGAGCAAATGCCTTAGGGTTGCAATAAGTTGAAAGTGAGTTGAAGGCACACATCTACAAAGGATGGAACAGGTAACAGGCAAGAGAATCACAGTAGAGAAAGGTAGATAAACAGAATTTAGAAGTGTGAAGTCGTAGGCTTTCACGGCCAGCATCCATAGTTTTTTCTGGGTTTTTCAGGCTGTGTGCCCATGTTCTAGAAGAGTTTCTGATGAAACATCAGAAAGAAACTCTTCTAGAACATGGCCACACAGCCTGGAAAACCCACAAAAAACTAAGAATTTGGGATTACCACTTACACATTTCCAAGAGAGAGAGAAAGAGAGTGAGGCTACATTTGCAAAATTAAGATTATTTTTTTTTAAAAAAATAATGTTTTCATTACCATAAATTTCAGAAGGGGGAAGCATAAAACAAAACAGCTCAATCAATCACAAATCATTCATAAAAAAGAGAATTAGAACATAGCAGAAAATCAAGGTAAAAAACAAACAAAACATCCTTGTGAGCCATGATGGAGTTTGACCAATTTACTCCTAGTGGAAAATTCCAACATATAAAACTTTGGAACCTTCAACACAGGAAAGAAACTGAAAGAAGAAGAGAAGTTTAAAAGCAATCAGATCTGTCTGGGAATTTTCCCAAAGCTGGATCCATAAACGGGATGAATATCATCATAATATAGGAAATATAGCAGAACACAATCAAAATTTTCAACCATACTTGACTGACAGGAGCAGGAAACAAAGCAGATAGAACCCTAGAATAATAGGGATGGAATATACCTCAAGGGCCATCCAGTCCAACCCCCTGCCATGCAGGAACTCACAATCAAAACACTCCCAACAGATGGCCATCTAGCCTCTATTTAAAAACCTCCAAAGAAGGAGACTCCATCAAACTCTAAGGAAGAGTGTACCACTGTCAAACAGCTCTTACTGTCAAGAAGTTCCTCCTAATGTTGAGGTAGAATCTCTTTTCCTGTAGTTTGAATCCAAAACAAAAAGAATCCATATACAATGGCGGTTGTTGACATGCAAGGGTGCTTTGATTGTATCTTCCTGCATGACAGACGGTTGGACTTGGGGGCCCTTGAAGTCTCTTCCTACTCTATGATTCTATGATTCTGCTCACACTGGAAGACACAGTATGTGCGATGGTTTGTCTCGTATATTTGACAGCTGGTGCAGATAATTTTCAATATCCTCCTCTTCTCTTCAACAGCCTTTTCTGGGGTCCGGTGGAGCTGCTGGCTGGGCAGAAAAGGGAGACAACTCTTTTTACCACCTAGCCAGCAGAGCCCCCAGACCCAGAAGGCAGCCCAGTTTAACCAGTGGTAACTGGGGGGGGGTAGGCTGTTCTTCTCATCCCACAGCCTTTCTGTGTCTGGCAGAACAGCTGAGATAGTGAGAGAGGTAGGCAACTATCTTTACCACACAGGGCCTTTGCAGACTGCCAAAAATAGTGCAAATTGAGTCCACTTTAAGGGTTAGGATTAGTGCTAGGGAATCATGGGAATTGTTGTTTTTTTTCTGAGACATTGAGCCTTCTCTGTCAGAGAGCTCTGGTGCCACAATAAAATACAGTTCCCATGATTCCCTAACCCTAACCCTAACCCTAACCCTAACCCTTAAAGTGAACTAAATTTGCACTATTTCTAGCAGACTGCAAAGACCCTCAGCCAGCAGAGCCACCAGACCCAGCTGCTCCTGCTGTCCCACAGTCTTTTCTGGGTCTGGTAGAACTGCAGCCTGGGCAGGAAATGGAGACAGGTTTCTTTACTGCCTAGCCTGCAAAGTTACCAGACTCAGAAGACAGCCCATCACAGAAAAAATGGGGCTGCGAGGGACCAGAGAAACTTCCCAAGGACTGATGCAACCTGTTATGGTAGACTGCCCCCCCCCTCCGCTTTTCATTACTTTCAGTCTGAACCATGAAGTATCAAACTGTATAGGGCACCCACATGTCAATGAAAACCAACACCCTCTTTTCCAGATTTTTAAGGCAGGAACCTTTAAGTGATAGCATAGCCAAATGGATTCAATACTAAGGCTATTTTGGAATGACATACAGTTACAACCTTGTACATTCATAGCTTTATTTATAAAGGAAAAAAGAAATAGGAAAACATAGACAAAGAAGCAAAGTAGTGCTTGGGAAATGTTATTATTGGGTGCCTTCAAGTCATTTCTGACTAATGGCAACCCTATGGTGAACCTATCATGGTTGTTTTTTGACAAGATTTGTTCAGAAGAGGTTTGCCACTGCCTTCCCTCAGGCTGAGAGAGTGTGAATTGCCCAAGGACACCAAGTGGGTTTCATGGCCAAGCTGGGAATTGAACTGGTCTCCAGAGTCATATTCCAACACTCAAATGACTACATCACACTGATTCTTTGGGAAACTTACAAACAGGCAGAAATGATAAATTTTAGCTAATTAATTAATTTCTTTATTACGACCATTCGGTCAGCACAGGGTCACAATAAAACACATCTTAGTTGTATACAGTAATTCCTTACAGGAACTTGTCGGTTACTACAGACAAACAAACAAATCCTAATTTATACAAAGAAAGACAGAAGTGGGGCAATATATTTATCTATACACCATGATAATTAGAGATTCTAATAGCCTTTATAAGATAAGAAGGTATCACCTCATACATAG